CATACATGTGACTTGGTTGTCAATAATTATATCTTCAAGAAAAATCATACACTTACTTCACATTTAGGGCTTTAAAATACATTTGTTCACTGTTGCTAACTTAAGGAAGCCTTCCATCTATATAACTGTCTGTACAAAGCGACAGCTTCTTAAAGAACTCTAAAGGCATGGGTACCTCTATTATAAACCCAATTTCCTTTACTTTACTTCACATTTTCTGGTTGTTAAGTCAAAATCATCTTAATTTTCATTATGCAACAAGATCATAAATTTTAAAAACATATGCCGCTATATAGCATTATTAATTTTTAAAAGAAATTCAATTAAAACAAAGCTTTCCCCTCCCACTCTAAACCCATAGATTTTCCAATTTTATATTAAAAAAACTTCTGAGAGAAAGGAGGCAACGTCATAGTAAACCCGGCCGGAACAGTGAGGTCTAATATTTATAGATTAACAGCTTCCACTTATTTATATCCCATTCTACAGATTTGGATTCAAAGCGACGCCGGAAACCACTCGGGCCTTGGATGGCAGCACAAGCTCCCGCCAGCTCCTCTTACGGTGCGCTGCCTCTCCTTCGCGAATCCTTCGGTTCGCGTGAGAAAGTGCGGAGGGAGGTTCGGTTTTTAACTCATATAAGACTATTGGTTGCAAATGACCCTCTTGCCCTTAAGTAATTTTGGTAGTTACTTTGATTAGGGGGCAAAACCGGTATTATGAAATTTAATATTATTATTAATATCAAATTAACTATAAGTCTCTATATATATAGAATAGAATTTTGCGTAGGATTTTAAAAATTTAACACCGTGAATATCGAAACCATTTGAATTTTACTTAGACTGTTTTGGCACGAAGGAACTTAGCGCTTTGAAAAGCGGCGGAGGATCGTAAACTGGCAATTTTCGGGTTTTCAATGAGCCAAGATCAAGCTAGCTCGGCTAATTTACACCCCTACATTAGCTAAGAAATTCCAATGAGACTTTAAACAATAACTAAGTGTGTGTGTCAGGGTGGAAGTTCAAAGGCTTTGTTAAATGGAGGTGTAGATTTTCTTAGTTCCTGATTACTGCTCTAACTGGTTCTTTATACTCCAACCCTCTGCTGCCTCTATTTTTTCTCTTGACACGTAATGATAATCAAATAGCAAAGAACCTTTGCTTAGGTATGTTATGCATATTTATCAAGGGCCTCCAATATTAATTTTTTCTCAATGTGCCAACCAGTCACTCTACAATGATGGGCCACACGTGCTTAGAAGTGTCACCATGCTTTAGAAGTGTCAACTTTTAATACAGACCTCATCCACTAAAAAAATATTAAGGTTCAATATTAACCGAGCTTCAGTATTATGATAAATTGTGCATATTCTAAGGGAGTCATGATCTATAATAAAATTTAAAGTGACTAGTTTATGACCCTACCATGATCTTCTAGAATGGCCACATTAGATTGAGTAGGAAGATGGTCAAATCAATCCCTTCATTTAATGTAACTATCCCGTTTGATTTTATAAGTAATAATGGCTAGTTATCAAAGACACCATATTTAATTAACTATTAATGTCTATTCCTGTGGGTTAAAATAAATTATTATAAACCTTATTAGGCTACTCAAACTAAACGCACAAACAATCAATTTAAATTCACAAGTTTCTAGAGCCTCACTTTAGAGTACTTTACTTTATGGTGGACAAAGAAAGTTATTAGAAGGTATGAGAGATATTATCCCAGTATTCAATAATTATACAAGTATATATGCTCTGAGACTATAGTTTGCATCATTAAGTATGAATAGCTAAGCAAAAAAAAAAACTTTTAAACCATTCAACAATTAAAAAATGGAATGACTAAACATCAAGCCTTTTATACACTACGTGGAATCAACTACATGAATCTTTTTTCTCATTGAGTTTTGTTAAGAGTCAAATTCTCATTTAAATCTAATAAAGAATGTCATTTCTAATAATTTTTAACCAAGTCTTTTTAGGTTTATCTCTTCTCATAGCTTGAACCTCTACCTTTCTTAACATAAGACAAATCTAATACATCTACTCTCATAACGGGTCAGCTGGAAGGCCGACATTTTATGTGACCAAGTACTTAAGGCGACTCTGTCTAATAATATCCCCATCTATTTCACCATTACTCTGAACAATAGACAAAGATATCTAGAACATGTACTTTATTGGTCTTGATCACACAAAGTCAAAATCCCCCCCCCCCCATTAGATTATTTTAATAATTACCTGATATATTCGATTTTTTATCTACTCAAACGAAAACCTTTAGACTCTAAGGTTAACCTCCATAATTCAAGTTTACCTTCAACTACCTTCTGAAATGACTAATTTCATAAATGAAATAAATAATTGATCTTAAATTTAAAGGACAACAATCTAGATTTTTTTTTTTTTCTGTACAAGATAAAATCTCAATAATGTATCTCTAAAAACCTCCAAATGGAGCATAAAATATCTATGTAGTAATAATAAAAAGATAAATAAACACAATGTTACTTTTTTTAATGAAAACAATGAAAGATGAAAAAAATCCTCACAGTATTAACCCACACATCCTGAAACACAAATAAACATAGAGAGCATCCATGTTAAGCAAATGTGTGTTCTCGCATATTTTTGAAAGGGCAACTTCAAAATGCATCAAATCGACACTTCAAAATGAGTTTTTTTTTCACGAGCTTTTCAACTAGTATTTTAAACATATATGAAAAGCATATTTCATTTAACTTTGCAGGAGGGGTAGGAGAGAAAAGTAACCTTATAAATTCAAGAAAAATGCCCGCTTAATTGAATTTAAAAATCTATACAACAACAAAATCAATCTTTTATTCCAATACGTGGGTCGGCTACATGAATCCTTTTTCTCCATTGTGTTATGTTAAGAGTCAAATTCTCATTTAAATTTGATAAAAAAAGTCATTTCTAATATTTTCTAGCCAAGTCTTTTTAAGTCTACCTCTACATTTCTTAATTTAGTTCAAATCCAATGAATCTACTCTTAATAATTGATATTAAACTTCATACGCCTTAATCTAAAAACACCCTGCAACCCAAAGCTTGATGATTAGTCTTTCCATATAACTAAGGCAAAGAGAAGCGAGAAGCCCCATCAAAAATACTTGAACTACACAAATTCCCCTTCTCCGCCATCTACTCCCTTTAAAGCCTAAGCCTATCATTTATACTAATATGTTGATAGCATACTCCACTCTTTCTTTCAACCAAGTAAACATTAAGACAAAATCAATAAAAATCATAAATTGGATGAAGATTGTTTCAAAGTAATGCAACGCAAAAGAGTATTGGGGTCTAATCCATGAGATAAAATGTTCAGGATGAAAATGAAAAATAGACTTCAAAAACTTACTACAAACAAAAAGTACAGTTTGCAGAAGGGGTAAGGGTTGGGGGGAACTAGACTACGCACATTAATAAACTACATACAACCATGTGCTTGAGGTAAGCAGAAATTGCATTGGGATATCAATCAACTTGAGTTAGAAGCTATTTCTACATTAAAAGAATTCTTAAGAGGTTGGATGTTTGAAAGCAAAGGAATAATAATTGAGGGCGACAACTATAACGCCATCAAATACCTTCATGACTCTATGCTGAAATCAACACAGACGGTGAATAACTTCTTTTCTAAGAAGCTGTCATTTCTCAATGACTTCAATAAGGTAATCTTCCATCATACCTCTAGGAATTGTAATAAAGCCGCTGATTTGTGTGCTACCTTAGCTTTGGAGAATAACTTTTGTTTTGATTCTTTTCTTTTTTCTGATATTCCTTCTTCTTTGTATAACATTTTGAAAAAGGAATATGATTGCTGCATTGATTAGTTTGTAATAGCTTTTTGTTTACCCTTAATGCAATTTGCAATAACAACAACATCAAGCCTTTATCCCACTACGTGGGGTCGGCTACATGAATCTTTTTTCTCCATTGGTCCTATTAAGGTCAAATTCTCCTTTAAATCTAATAAAGAAAGTCATTCCTAATATTTTCTAACCAGGACTTTTTAGGTCTTTGTCCTAACATAAGTCAAATCTAATACCTCTACTCTCCTAACCGGGTCATTGGAAGGCCGCCGTTTTATGTAACCAAACCATCTAAGGCGACTCTTTCTAATCTTATCTTCTACTGGAGCTACTCCAACCTTTTCACGTATGCTCATTTCGTATCCTATCTCTAAGGGTAAAGCAACTCATCCACCTAAGCATCCTCATCTCTGCCACACTTAACTTAATATTATGCTTCTCTTTTAATGGCCAACATTCAGCACTATAAAGCATTGCAGGCCTCACTACCACCTTAATGCATATTTGCAATTTTCAAAAAAAAAAAAAATACAACCATGTGCTTGTATTACATTTATTCGAGTTTGACAACTAACTCTAATGGATAATCTTGTTGAAGGAATGGGCAAAAGGTTGAAGATTTCAATGGGCCTATAAGCTATTTTCAACATAAACAATGGGAATCCAAAAATATGAATTTTAACTTATTAATAGACCATTTCTAACTCAACTAAACATAAGCCACTATGGAAAAACCATTCAAATAAGATCATCATATCAATCTGGTACTATTTCAAACCACAATGACTATATTTTCCATGAATGTTAATATATAACTTTTAAATTTATTAAGCATTATTAGCCATAATATCAATGTTAAACTACAATAAAGTTACCAACAACAAAGAAAACAGACCCTATACCAACCATCTAAGGACAAAGTGAAAATAATACCAAAATGAAACACGTGGAATCAAGAAGCAAATATCTACCAAAAAAGGATGAAAAGCTTAGCATATCCCACATCATTATGCAATCGAGGAAAATAAATATAAAGCTAAAAATCAATGCAGTTAGTTCAGCTTCAAAACTTTAAGTATGCTTGTTTGCCACAGTGCAGAAAATATAAATACCAAAAATAAATAATAAAGTCATTCAGGCAAATTAACAGTTACCTGCCAAAAGAAATTCCCCAGAAGGATGAAAAGATACAGATCTCACATTATGAGTATCCTGCAAGTATTTGAGCTAAAAACTAGTGAATTCAAAAATTAATTCCACATGTTAAAAACAACTACGAAGGAGCTTTTTTTTTTTTTAAGTAAGTTGGATATCAGTTTGACAATACATGTACATAAGAAAAGATGGAGCATAAAAAGGGAGTTGGGAAGAGAACCTGAATAACTCTAAATGCTTTCCTTGCAACCGTTTTTGAAAAATCAAAAAACCTGAAAAAAATCCAATAGTAGTTAAGAAGGTTTTGGTTTTACTACCCATTTAGAGAGCTTTCATTTGATAAGATTTGTAGATTTGCATGACATTCTTTTAACATTCAAAGAATGATTTAAATAATTTAGAAAATCCCAAATTGTTGTGAAACTTCCCATAGACCCTCAAAGTTCTATGTTGCAAGCCCCATAATGGGTAGAGTTATTTAAGTTCACACAGTAGATAAGAAGGTTTTGGTTTTACTACCCATTGAGAGAGCTTAAACTATTGAGGAACAAAATAACTCTTCAAAGTTGATATTCAGATTATTCTCATAGAAAACACTAGTATAAACCAAGAAAGCATGAAATCCGAGAAAATCAGCCACTTGCAAATATTTTTTGAGAAAAAGGTAAACGAACCACACTGAAACAAATTTTATTTGATTAAAGAAGAACAAAAGCAAGCAATATACAATGTATCTTCAATTCGCGAGGAAGATTTGGCTCTCCCAATCCCTAGCCGGCAACTAGAGAGCCCAATACCTAAGAGAAATCTCAAATTTCAGCCAAATTCAAGATGCCCTAACCCTAGCAAAACATACTTACTACTTATTACATACAATTCAAAAACAAATCTCTAAAAAACTCCTATTTTGAAATTTCCCTCATAAATCCCTCCAAAACCTTTCCTAATTCCTTCTGCCAACAAGAGCGGAGCATGCAGCTCTTCTGAAGTGGGCCTTGTCCACCTGTTACATGAGCCAGTCCGGTATGGACCGGTCTAACACATTCAAAATAACATCACAACACTAAACTCTTAGTTAGACTTAATGAACTGAAATGTTCCATGCGAATACTTCTATAAGTGGAAAAAAGATCAGCAATGTTCCATAGAATTTGTCAACAAAGATCCTAAATATCAATGCCAAAACTTAAAACATAACAACATAAAAGCCATATAGTACTTAAAGGTCATTGGCTTATTACCAACAAGTGATTACAACACAACGTACGACAAACACAAATAAATTTAGTGGAAAAAACATCAGAAGGCTCACCCCCAAGACCCAATTGTGAGTATGTGCATATGTGCATTCTTTTTGTATGGCATGCTATTAACTTTCATTGGCACATGATACAGGTCCCATTATCCGATACATTGATTACAAACCTCATAAGTAAATGTTGATTTCCCTTGTGGTTAACTTGGCTGCACAAAATATGAAGTGATTTTGACTTCGTCTCCTCCTTTAGCCACTTTTGCATTATTTGATCCCATGAGCAATAATTTCATTCAAATGCTGATGCATCAATCCAAATATCGAAATCCCTTTCTGACCATTTGTTATACGGTTAAGTTTGAAAAATTATCTCAACACACTCATCCCACTCATGACAATTAAATGTGATTCAGTGATGAGCTAGTCATAACACAACATCATGATAAAAATAATGAGGATCAACCAATCGAGGGTGTTAGGAAAAACGCGGTCAACCAAAGGTGCTTTAAAAGTATACCACCTAGAAGAAATGAATCAGATTCATCTCCTTACAAGATGGAACAGATAAAATAAGTTGTGGGATTGAAAACATAACAGGCATAAATCCAAAGTTTGCCTAAAATAGTATGAACTCTAATCATAGGAAGGACATAATAATTCAATTTACTACTTCAGTTTACAATTCAAAATATATATATATATATATATATATATCTTAATGCATTTTCCAAAAATCATATACACTACTCATGATTTATACAATCATCACAACTATATCTTATACTGAGTACAAAAGAAGAAATAAAAAAAAAAGAACATAACCTAAAGAATTTTGATTAACCTCACACTCCTGCTCTCCTGCCCTGACTTGAAATCATTTAATCACATATGATGAGTTTAAAAAACTTAGCAAATCAACAAAACTTACAACTGAATTCAAAGTACGATAAATGAGTAATATGCTTGTCAATAGTGAAATCATAAGAGTTACATTCATGATCATTAAATCAATGAAGAAATAGTAAAATTCATATATAGTAGTATAATTTATAAACAATAAAATATTAAAGTACATAAGTCAATAAAGTAGTAAACCAGTATGAGTATTAAATCTATAAAATAATCATCATATCAATAATACTAATCAGTATTCTTTTAATTGCTTGAGCTGAAGTTTAGTAGCTCATTAATATCCAAAAAGGTACCTCATTAAGAAGATTTACTTTTGGAGTGGCCTTGTCCCTTCCCCTTCCCCTTTTCTATAATGGAGTGCTTTTCCCTTGGGAGTCCGCCCGGCCTCTGTTTTTTTCGAACTGGGATGTATTTTCCCGTTGATGTGCTGCTTTGAATTCTCGGCCTGCTTGCTGGCTCCTTGGTTCCGTGAATTGCTGGGCTGTTTTTCCGAAATGGCTCTTGGAAATCCTTTGGAAAATAAATGCTTGGGATGTTGTGAGCATTATCTCAAGTGGCTTTTGGCATTCCTGTTCAATGCCTATAAATATGAGATGATGAAGTGAAGGAAGGCAGTTGATATTTGTGAGCATATTTGCTATTAACCTGCGGGTTTATTCGGAAATCCTGCGGGCTCTTTCCACCCTTCTTTTCTCATCCCCTCCGAAAATACCGCGGGCTCTTTCCACCCTTTCTTCTCGGGCTTCTAACCTCTTTCGTCTCTCCGCAAGTGCCACTCCATCTGTATCATTCTTCTCAACAGTGAAGCAACTTTAGGGTGTCGTGTCTTGGTTGATTTGGAAGCATTTGGGATAGTCTTGTAGTGGTGGACCATCGGTTTGCTAGTCTTATGCACTTCTTTTATTTAATCTACTATTCGATGCATGTGAGGAACCCGCTCTGACGGTTGTCTGAGGATAGCGTTTTTTTTTTATTTTCCATTATTTCTTCTAATATTTCTTGTTGCGTTTGTCAAGTCTTAGCTGTCTGTTTCTATTTTAATAAAGTTTATTTTAAGTTCTATCCATTGTGTCTGTTTCTTCTTGTGTGTCTACATCAATATATGTTGGCATTCTATTAACCTTGCATTCAGGCTTTAATGCGCCTTGTGTATGCATATTCTATCACATCTTTTTCATGCGAAAATATGTTTATTTAACCAAGTTATGAGGAATTGCTTGGAAAACATTTTAGTTCTAAGTTTGGACCTTCATCCAAAATTTCATATGCTAAACATTGGAAGAGTTTACTTTTGAATTTTGCTAAAATTAATCTTTGCTCTATGATTTTGACTTATATACATCAATATATCTAGAGAGAGAGAGAGAGAGTTCTTGGAAATTTCTTTTGATCAAATCACATTCACAAGCACATTCTTCATAACTTTTTAATGTTGCATGCCTTTGAATTATATTAAACCAGCAATAAAATGGAGCTGTTGAGTTTTATATTGAGCGGACAAGATGTGCAAGTGCGTGATGAAAATAAGAGGAAAGAGGGAAGGGGAATGATGACTACAGTTTATCCATACTTTGATACCATGTTGAGAAGAAAGATTCAAATATGCTTCATTCACTAAATATATTTGTACATGAAAACTATAATAGGAACCATATAGAGGGATGAACAATGACAATTACAAGAAAACAAATAAATATTTTTCTAAATCATATAATCTCCTAAAATATGTCATATGCAAACAACTATTAAGAAAACACCCTCAACTTGATGTAGCTTTTCAATTTGTCGCTCTATGAAATCCGAGAAATGTATGTTCTTTTCCTTCTTCTATATGAGTTCTCTTTGGGTCATGCTCGAATTAACCAGCCCATCATCATTTTTGGCAAGCAACAGCTTTTGATGATCCAGATGATGGGAAAAAGCACTCGTTGGCTTCATAGTCAATGGAGAAACTCATGAGATCATTGTAAAGGGAAATAAATGAACAAAAAAGGAAGATTGAAGATAACACCTTAATTTTTGCAATACTTAATGAGTCAAGTTCACAAGACACTCAAATAGGTATCATAGTGGAGTGTGGCATGATTTAGATCACAAGAAGGGTTACAATCATTGACACAATTTTTAAGTTGACTCAACTTGGATCAAGTCGAATCGGACCAAAATTAGGCTCGACTGGTGCACACCTAGGACGAGGTCGGCTGAAGAAGGGAGCTTTGGGCAAGCTTTCATTTGGAGAATCTCAGCCAAACCAAGCGACTAAGGAAACAACTTTGACCTGTTCTTTTACTTCTTCTCGAATAAGCAACTGAAGAGCAGAAGCCTTGATGGCTATTCGACCTATTCCAACAGAAAGGGAAGGTTGTTGTTTACTTTCTTCTAAAGCCCAATAAAGAGTATTTGTTGCTGTCATTCACTTCTTGAGTCTTCCAAAATCTAAAAGCAAGAGGGGCAGCTATTTGCTCTTTCTTACAAAGTCCAGTCAAGGTGAAAATGAAGGGTTTCTTACTCCTCAAATACCAATCCCCGTGTGCTAGTAGCAACGAGGCGACATTTGGAGAGGCTTAGACAACAAACCCGTTCCACTTAACTCTCCTTTACCTCTTCAAGGTAAAGGTGCTACAACCGTAACCGCCGGACACTTGCTTCGGCGAGGAAATGCCCCTAAACTTAGCAAAACCCTAGATCTCCAAGCCTTCTGGATGTAGTTGATGCTCCTAAACTCTTACATCATTAGAAACCCTTGCTTTAAATTTCTTTCAAGACAAAAAAAAAATCCCATGCCCACTGTCCTCTCCTCAAAAAGGTGGAAATCCGATGATTTCCACTTGTTTTCTCTCATGTAGATGGACATAAGCACCAGGTCATTGGGCGTGTGTTCAACGACCTCCAAATGCATGAAATTCATTCATATTGCATCCCAATCCGTTGCTTATAGTCATACCCTAGGGTAGATACTACCATTTGATCTCAAATTGAATGATAACGCATAGGATTTTGACCACCACTATTTACATGCACTTCCTACTCAACCATATGTCATGGAAAAATTGATATAGAATGTAGGAGCTTTCATTTGATAAGATTTGTAGATTTGCATGACAT